TGTGTGTGTGTGTGTGTGTGTGTGTGTGTGTGTGTGTGTGTGTGTGTGTGTTGAGTGTGTATATGTGTTTCTGTATGAGAGAGAGAGAGCGAGAAAGAGAGAGAGAGCGAGAAAAAGAGAGAGAGAGAGAGAGAGAAAGAGAGAGAGAGAGGGAGAGAGAGAGAGAGAGAAAGAGAGAGAGAGAGGGAGAGAGAGAGAGAGAGAGAGAGAGAGAGAGAGAGAGAGAGAGAGAGAGAGAGAGAGAGAGAGAGAGAAATAGAGGTGTTAAATACACAAAGCACTCACAAAAACACAAACCCATGACATTCGAATACACTCTTCGCTCATCGACCATTCCACTCACCAGAGTTTCCACGACCTTTGACACCAGCCGCGGCAGCAGGACTCTGGGCTCTGTGTGAAACTGTCCCTGGCACAGTCTGATACACCGGTGGATGATGCCTCTCAGCTTGTGGCTGGGGAAAATAGGAAGCAGTAACAGCTTACATTGGGTGTATTTGTGAAGAAATTGGGTGTTATTGTGGAGAAAAAGGAAGCACTAACACCTACATACAAGGTGTATTTGTGGAAAAATTAGAAGCAGTTATAGCTTTATAGTTGGTGTATTTGTGGAGAAAGTAGAAGTAATAATAGTTTTGTACTGGGTATGTTTAAGGAGAAATTGAAAACAGTAACAGCTTTATATTGGGTGTGTGTTGAGAGAAATCGGAAACAGTAACAGCTTTATATTGAGTATATTTAGGAAAAAAATTGAAAGCAGTGGCTTTACGCTGTGCCTGTTTTAGTGAAACAATTTGAAGTTTAATATTCCTCGTGAAAAAATGAAGCTCTGTATACAAGTTGCATTTATTTGACGGTTGCAGAAAACACTCCTCAGTGTAAGATTGTTTGTGCAAAGATGTAGCTTTATACTGAATGAGTGTATCAAAGGAAAATTGTCAGGGAGTTGTGGCAAACATCCTTCAATGTCAGATTGTATGAAATAAAAGTGTAGCTTTCGGGAGAGTCACATGAGCAGAAAGTATCTGTCCAAATGTTGGGTCTTTATGAATACAGCTTTTAACTTTTATGTATTTTTAAAGTAAATCCCGAGCTAATGGTTTGCCCAAACCACAGAGCACGTGTGAAACAGTTCACAAAATCCATTTTTCACAGAACCACATAATTCAGGAGTTGTTAAGAGAAGTCAAAAGGAGAAAAATCTTTTGAGAGTTAGATGTTTTTAATAATGCTATGAATAATCAAAGCCCCCCCCCCACACACACACACACACAAGTGCCACCCATCAACCACCCACAACTCACCCCAGGTCTTGACCACTGGGCAGCAGACCATCACTTATGGCAACTGTGATCATCCGGGCGTGATCTGCTAATGTCCTATATGCCACATCCAGATGACTAGCGCTAGACTGGTACTCCACACAACTGCAAGTCTGAAGCAGAGTTTGTTTTAGTAGGTGCTTTACGCCACTCGCAACACTAAGAAGGTTATTTTGCTTAGTAAGGCACGAAGTATGGCAGTCCTGGGTTACTGGATTTAGAGAGTTCACATTAATCATTAAATAAAAGTATGCTTATAGGTAGCTGAGGACTGAGAGGAGTGAAAGAAGCTGGTTGCAAAATCTGCAGTGGTGCCCCTATGGTCAACCAGACTATGGGATAGGTGAAGGTGCATATGTTTATTATTGAACCAAACAAAAACCAACAGACAATGAGATCAAGAAAAGACGATGGCACAGGGTTGGGCACACTCATAGAAAAACTAGCCCACAATGCGACAAGGCAAAGCCTAAGATGGAATCCCTAAGGGAGGAGGAAGAAAGAAAGACCGACATCAATCTTCTGAGACCAAGATCTGGAGGCAGATCTCAGACAGATGGGACACAACTCAGCCATCTACACCGACAACAACACGCTCCACAGACAAGTACATCTTAAGACGACCCTCCAGGCTATTGCCGTACGGGTCACCCTGCACAGACCAATCACGATCTGCTCAGTTTACATCCCACCAAATTACCCCCTCAAAATAACCCAACTAAATGAATTAAAGTCCCAGCTCCCAAAACCCTTTATTTTACTAGGTGATTTCAATGCCCACAGCCCCCTTTGGGGAGACAAACCTATAGACCAGAAAGGTAAAATAATAGAAAACTTTTTATTTCAAAATAACATCTGTCTCTTAAATGATAAATCCCCAACTTACAGAAACAGAGCCACTTATGGCACTTCATCCCTTGACCTTACTTTTTGTACCCCTGAACTAGTCCCAGATCTTGAGTGGTCTGTGCTGGATGACCGTACGGACCATTTCCCAATTCTCCTCAAAAACAATAGCCTCCAAAACGACCCGATCCCAGAACGCTTCAACTTCAAAAAAGCCGACTGGGACGGGTTTGCAAATCAATGTTCCAAGATTCTTAATCCCAATTTCGACCACAACTACAATAAATTTCACGAAAAGCTCTTAGAAATATGCCACAATCACATTCCAAAAACAAAAACAAAACCCCGGAGGAACAAGATCTGGTTCTCTTGGGAGTGTGAGGAAGCAGTAAAGAAAAAGAAGGCGGCGTATCGAAGAGCCGTCAACAACACCACCATAGAAAATAAGATACTTTATTTAAAGGCTCGAGCTGAGGCACGTAGATGCCTCAGGGAGAGCAAAAGACAATCATTCCAAAAATACATCTCCAAAATCAACAGCCAGACACCACTCAATCAAGTTTTCCAAATTGCTAAAAAATTCTTAGGTAGACGCACAGACACCATTCGGCACGTCCAGAGGCCGGATGGAACAACAGCTGAAACACAAGTAGACATCGCAAACACAATAGCTACATCTTTAGCCAAAAACTCATCCCAAGCACACTTCGATCCACGAAACACGCTGACAGGTAAAGCTTGACAAAGGGACATTTTTTGCTACAACCTAAACAGCTTGCATTTTTTTTATAAGACAAGCCTAGACCAGGTATTTAGTGAGACTGCCCCTCACACAGAACAAAGTACAAAGCGAGTGATGGACAGCATTGGTACACCCAATTTTCTACGGACACATTGTCTAAGACTAAGACTAGGCGAGCGATATGTTTGGGAGGTGGCCGAAATGTCTTTTGATAGGTCACTCAAAAAAAATTTTTTGAAAGAAGGTTTCTCACAGGTGTTTGGGTGAGTGGTAGGTCCGATGTTTAGTTAGGCCTATGACGCACAACATGCGTGAAAGAACACTAGCTAGGTGTATAAGATTAAAGATTAGTCAAGTGATCAACTTTTATAATGTAGGCCTACTTGTTCAAAAGTCTTTCAGAATGTCTCTCTCTCTCTCTCTCTTCTGGTGCTGTGGCTTCATAAGCGGTCAGCGATGCCGACAGCACGCAGGAACTCAACACTCGC